AGGAATGCTCTGCATATCAGGTGATACCTAATTCAGCAGTATATAGAGGCATGATACCTACATGACCAGAGAACTCCCTTAGAACTTTCAAGATTAATATGTGCTCCTTTTACTTTGAGTAAAGGGACTCTCCCCTCTGTGACAACAGTTTGCCCATAGAATTGCCACACTCTTCTAAAATGGTGAGAAGATGATGACCTCTTAAAGTGGAAAAAGAGACTTTCTGGCATGTTCCCTCCCCCTCCACACAGACACCCTACCAGATCAAACAGCACCACCTTTGGCAGTTTTTTGTCATAGCTTATTAGTGAGATTTCTGTTACTTAAACATACCTGTACAGAACACCATTTAAGACTGCCGGAGGACACTACCTTTAGAGGCACCACCTTTGCCCTGCAGATGATCTTTATCATCTCTGGTTTCATGTAGGGGGAGTTACGTCCCATGTAGCCATTACCTAAAAGTATTTTCAGTGTGTGGTTCAATCTGGCTAAGAATCCTTCCAAAACAAACCATCTGTTTATTTCCCTGGTTCTCTACGTTTTCTCTGAGGAGAGCTCACAGAAATCTTAGATAGATCAGACCCTCACTTACACATAGTAGGAATCAGAAGTGACAGTAAATGAAAAACATAGCTGGGTCACAAGACAGGCATGTGTTAAACCTCTGTAACTTAAGGTCCCACTTTTATAGGACAGGAAATCAATATCACAAATTTCAAACCATATTAGGCCAATCTATAGCAAAGAAAGAATACCATTTTTCTCAAGCATATTCTTTTCTGTGGCTGTGTATTTTATTTAACTTACGCTAAATTACATTTTTTAAGGTGCAAAAACTATACTTCCGACTTATGAATGAAATAGATTGACATTACAGGATTCCATCTGCAACCAATGAGTGACAAGAAGGACATGAGGCAAGTTACAGCTAATTCACATCTTTAATGTATGTGGATAATCACTCCAAAATGACTGGTCTGTGTTAGTAAAAAGCAAAACAAAGCACAACCAACCTCCCCACGAACTAAAAGCTCCTCCACTGTACTGTATTGCCTTTGATCTCAAATTCGACAGCAAACTTATTTTGTCTCTTCTAAATTTTTTAGATTTCTGAAAAACATATTTACTACAAATGACTTGTAAGAAATACTTCTTTGGAAATTGCTAGCATCTGTTTAATAACAATTCCCCAACAAAAGGTTATGCAATTGAACCTCTACACGCTGGGATTCTTGTTTAGCAAAATAAAATAAAAAACAAAACATTGCTTGGAAATGGACATAGAATTATAGACTTCTATATGGAAAAAAATCTAGCAGATTGACTCTTGCAAATATCCAATTTGTGAATTCTCAATCTGCCATACTGCCTTTCTCTGTCAACACACAATTTTCTTCATGTCAGAAATGTGTAAACACCGTTTTGCTGACCAAACAGAAGAGTAAAAAGGAAAAGTGTTTGGCCTAAAAGAGCTCATTCACAGAAATTAAATTGGTTCCCAGGTTGTTGCTTTTGTTATTTGTTTTTGCACACAAAAGGAAATAAAAAGGTGCTTATTTCGAATGCTTAGAACATTATTATCCAAGCTGTATACATAATACACACAGAAACAAAATTTTTAGTATTCAAGCAAGGTAGTTACATTCATGGGTAATTCACAAAATGCTCACTTTCATACCTGCTTTGTGAAATGGATAATAGTCCACTGTTAAATAGCTGAAGGAAAGCTGCATGGCCCCTCCTGTAACACGTCTATTTGAGTCTGTAAAATAAAACAATGCTCAGCTCTGCAGACATTGTATCTAGCATGTTAGTTCTCATGTTGCTGCATTCCTTTAAATACCTAACAGCTACTTCTTCCTCTCCTTTACTGACTCTCCTTACAATCTCATTATCTTCCCTCAAAATTTCCATTCAGGTAGTCTTCCCTGGTTTCTAAAGATCAGCTTTCTACAGCACTCCATGTTCTGTACTTGGTCACTACTAACAAATTGCATATTGTTTTAAATGCTATCAAAAAGTAAAGACAACTCTTTGAACACATATTACTGCAGTTTTTCTGAAACAAAGCTTTTCACACGGAATATATGGTTATGATCAGTCATTTGAAGTCAACATTTACTTTCAAAAATATTGTAAATATAATTTGTTGTGATTTTATTTGACAAATATTATTGCAGTGAAGAGGTCTTCTGAGAGTCCTCTGTTCTGATTTTTTCCACTGCTAAATTTGAACTTCATGGACAAAAATAAAGGAACAATAAAGAGATCTCACTAAGAATGATAAATCCCAACTACAGTAGCATGTAAGAAAATACGTTTCTAGCCACTGAACCTTACGCTCTGCTGCTCTGCAAGTGTCTTCCCTAATCAAGGAAATACATTCGCTAAAACCTAAGTTTTTCATACTGTTTTCTTCAGCAGACCTTGTATGCCTCTCTAAATTTTTCAATGACTAGCCAGCTCCTTGGATATAAACTGATATGTCATTCTCTTCTGATCACTTTTAAAAGGCATGAAAGAAGTGTCATTTGTCTTCTTTTTTTCTGATTCTAAATATGGCTATATGCAATAGCCTTTCATTTAAAAAAAAAAAACAACACCAAAGTACAAGTATTACACAAAAATTATAAGGCCACAGAACACTTGTTCCATTCCTTCTATGTGCTGCAGAGCATACCAAATTCCCTAAATTAGTAACACAAAGAGGACTGCTCTTTTATTAGTCTGTATTTTATAAGAGTATTACAGAAGCGGATTGTATAGTGACCCTTTCAAGCCACAGTAATGTTGCTACTGCATTCTTCATAACCCAGTTAACTTATAATATAAAAGAAAAAAACAGCAGTAACAATCAGACTGGACAGAATCAGTTTCTAGAAGACAGGAAAAGCACTGAAGCTACTAGCACTCTTAGCAGTTTTTATTGCATTTATTATAAAATAATTACATTTAATAATGAAATGTTGCCCTGATAGAGGCATCTAGCTGATTTTAGATGTCTACAGACACTGAAGACAATTCTGCATATTCCTCTAAAATAAAGACAGACTCTTGATTAACATTATTGTATTCCTCAAAATGTCTTCTAAAGACGATTATGGTTCATAGGCATGTTACTTTAAAAAAAAAAGTTACCTTTTTCTTTAGAATGGATATCATCACATATATGTAGGTCCAAATGGGAAATTACTAAGTGATGAGAAGTTTCCTTAACATCAAAATCATTAAACAATTTTACTATTGCATCATTTTGATCAGGTGCTGCTGTTGTCTGGTGCACTTTCACCTGCTGAGAGCTGGGTGCAGGGGCAGAGCTCTGAAAAAATATTTAGTCATATTGATTTATAAAGTTTATCCTTCCTTTCAAGCGTAAGTATCCTTTTACTTACTCAAAACAGGCCTTTGAAATAAGGAAAAATCTGCACTACATACATTCACCTTGGATCATTACTGAGATTTAAGTGTGCTGTTTTAGAATAAAGCTAAGTTGAGCTAATGACTAGGTGTCACAAAGAGGCAATGGCACTGCATCCCCTATTCTCCCCTTCCCCCACACTTCTTTACACCTGTCACTTGCAGCACTGGTATTTTTCTAACTTTTTTTGCAAGCTGTTCAGGGAACTAAACCAGCAGAAAACTATAAATTTTTTGTTGGGCTCATTTCTGCTAGTTTAGTTTCCCAAACTACATCACAATAGGGTCAAACGTGAGCTGGTGCCAGTATCAGGGAATTGGTGAGATGCAAGTACAGGGAATTGAAGAATCAGGACCTCCCTGCTCAGTAACAGCTAACCATTAGATTGCTGTAGCTAAAGCATCAAATCACATCATAAGTCATCAGGACCACCACAAGAACTGAACTCTCCATTACAGTACACTAGCTTTATTATAAGAGATGCTATACAAATGACTTTACTCAGTCTTAGTAATAAATTATGTTTTATTCTTCTAGGACTTATCAAGTGTATTTGTGCTGCTTCTTCACACACAAGAAGAGGTCCCAACACTCACAAAGCCCAGTTGGTCTAGTCTGCTGTAAGTGCTGAAAGATGACCAAGATTTACATAAGACTATCCTACATGCAGCATCAATATCACAACCATGCCAGCAGAAATATGTTAAAAGTAGAATTATTTTTCACTACATATTCCAACAAAAGAGCTGCATGAAGGGAAGCTCTTACTGAAAGCTAATTTTTCAGTACCATGAAAACAAAATGGACAAGCACTTTAAATCATTATAGTAAGCATATCTATCCACACATTAAGGTTACCTTACTGTATCTTAATTTTTTTTTAATTCATAACCAGAAAATATTTGGAGAGCAAATTTACTAAACAGTTAATCAACTTTAAATACTCTGTACATGGATAAAGAAATACAACTTTTTTCTTTCCTGCAATTAACATCAATACACAAAATCTTGTAAAAAAGTCTGTTATGTAACTGTGATTAATTCCCAATGTAATTTGAGATATACAGCTGAATGAAAATGAATAACTGAACATTCTCGAAAATAAATTAACACAACTAACTACACTGTGTTATATTTTAGAACATCTGATAATGATACAGTGAGACAATCAATTATCATACCTGTGCTGTTTCAGAAGCCAAACTTTTTCTCTGTTCTGTTGATTTCTCTATGGCTTCACTAAGAGATTTGGCATACTGCACCATGGCTTTCAACTGGGAATCAGTCAAAACCCATAGCAAATCATCCAGAATCAGAACCAGTTTTGATGCCACTACATTACAATCCTTTAACTGTAGAATAAAAAATTAACCAAGTCAAATGGGTCCATTAAATACTTACATTTCTTATATCAAATACAAAAAAAAAAAAAGTTGCATGCAAAACCACACTTCCCAGAAAGCAAATTTCTTCCATATAAATAACAAACACATTTTTTATTTTAAATTGTATTCCTCTCATTACCTAAAAAGTACCTAAAATACAGTATATTTATGCCTCACTTTTTATTTGTTTGGCATGCATTGGATATTAAACTGATGCATTTCTCTAAATATAAGTAATGTAAATATTGCCTGAATCTAGAGAGGTAAGACAACATGCATCATCATAAACAAAGCTCTGCAGATCAAACACTTTCATTAGTAGAACCTGTGCAAGGTCTTCATCTTCAAATTCTGCCTGCAATATTTCTTGTAAACTCTACAATCTTACCGATTATATGTTATTAAAAATGTAGTTCGGGGAATTCCACATTTTATATGGCCTAAATTTAAAACCTTTTCTATGTGCATGTATGCATTAAGAGCATGAGTTAAAAATTAATTCATAAAATAATAAAAGATTTCAGACTTTTCAAGTTTACCCTTCTTTTAAGTGTGACCCTAATTTTTGATTGGTTAGTAATCAGTCGAACTGGAGCACTCATGATTTCATGCTTAGAACTCTGGATTGCATCTGCTTCTATTCTGATCATCTGCCAGTTGATTTCTTTAAAAGTCAAAACCTTTAAAGAGAGAGAAAAAGAGAAGAACACCTTGATGCAATATGACAGTTTACTTCCACCTAAGCATATGCATGTGTGTGTATATATCTGTACACATACACACACACACTCACGTACATCCTTTATGCAGAGCTCTATGAACAGAACAAATGCAAGTCACTTGTTCTTCCACTTACAGGTGTCAGGAAGTAAAGCCCTGATCCTTCTCTCTACCTGCAGAATGTCACAGAAATGTTAAGCTAGTTCCAAGCAGGCAGAGGTAACAAGCAGCATTTAAAATATTCAGAAGAAAATAAAGATCACAATTATTGTGTACCACGTTGCTTTTGGTAGAGGGGAAAAAAAGAAGATTGCGTAGTTTAGTTTCAAAATGCTAAATCCTAGTATATAGGAAAAAGAGGGGGGAGAGAAGCAAAGCTACAGGATGGGAGAGGTTTTTGGAGTGTTTTATTTTAATTAAAAGAGAAAGTTAAACATTGAGCACGTTATATGCCGTATAGACCCCACAAGCTTTGAATCCATTACATGGATTTCTAGAAGACACAGCAAGCAAATGTTAGAATAATGACACAAGCGCAGCAAGTACAGCTGGATACTGAAAATATGGGAAAATGAGTGATTGTCCAGCAGCCACATCATGGAGAACATCAAATGAACACGACATCAAGAGGCAAAAATATTAATTCTAGTTTCCCTAAAACTCCTTCCTACATTACTCTCTGAAGAAAAAAAGATCAGCCACAGGGGAAATGGAAGAGGGAAGAGTTTGTTTGGTATGCGTCTTATTTTTCAGCTGTCATTCTTCTCTTGTCAATTTGAAAACAGTACAGCCTATGTCCTGTGAATATAAGCAGAGACTTAAGTACAACATACCCAATGTATTTGGGAAGGAGGCACACACAGTGAAGTCAAGCAAGATGGAAAGGCACAGTGCAAAGTAGCCTGAAAAATAGTATTTGCAGAAAAGCAGAGTACCTACCCTCCTCATCCAGGAGATGCAGCGTGAATGGAAGCTTCTAAAAAAATTCTAAGGAGATTCCTTATTATGTTAAGAGTGTAGCTACAGTGCAAAGCTAAAAGCTTACTCCTTTAAAATGTAGTTTAGCACAAGTTACCTTCATAGTACAGTATCAGTTTTGTTTTTTCACCTTTTCACGCCATTTACTGCTAACAAATCATTCACTACAGTTTCTAGAAATTTGTGTTTCCACAATTCATTGCACTAAAAGGAATACTCCCCAAGGAAAGCTCTATTGTGTATAGGGCGACTATTCAGAATCAAAGTCTTCCTAAAAAGCAGAAAATCAAAAAATATGGCAATACAAAATTCCATCAGGTCAAACTTTAATTCTTCCTCTTTAGACTTCATTAACACATGAGCATTAGCATACAGATAAGCTGCAGGAAAGACAAACTGTCAGAAAAATAGTTTTCAACTTATTATTTATGTGGTATTTTTAACTAACATTCTCTTCCCTACATAAAAAGCAACTATCAGACTCCTTAACTCTGAATAACCAACTCTGTTCCGGAATAATCGTCTCTAAATGGGCAAATATGGGCAAAATTTGAAACACCTATTTAACCAAGGCCAGATACATGCATGAGTCTCTCTCAATACAACATATAATATTTAGAATAAACCTGTCACTCAGTATACATTTTACTTTGGTTACATGGGAGAAAGCAAAAAAATGGTGTACACCAATCTAGGACTTCCATGTCAAGTTCTCCCAGACAGTAGAAAAGAACACACTTTACTGCTATTACTTTTTTGTATACATATGATTTAGTTATTCCAAGAAAAAGATTTAATTCTTTCATAGGAACTTTACTAAAATTCAGTTAAAACTGCTTAAAGAAAGAAAAAACCCTTAATAGGCAAACCCTCACAAGCAAATAAATAACCAGTTAAAGATTTAAAAAAAAAACAAAAACAAAAACAAAAAAACCAGCACAACGCCTTATCGTTACACATTTAATATACCATTCTTTTTTCTTTCAGTAGTCTTCATGTCTGGTCTAGTTTGCATTTTAAAATGGTCACAAGCTTGGAGAACGTAAGAGGGGAACAGTACATATGCTTGCCCTGGTCTTCGCTGCTCCCTAAGCATCCACTCTGGCCACTGCTAGAGACATTTGATCTGACTCACATCCAGCATTTTTACATCCCTGTGTTCCTAGAGGACAGCTGAAATTCCTGAGCACAGAATGTCTCCATTCCCAGTAACGGCATGTTTCCTAGACCGTATAAGGTTGCAATTCAACTTCCTCCTCCTTTACCACAAAAAAACAAGGAAAAAAGTTAGCAAAACATAGTATTTACCTCTCCACGTTGACCTTCTTGTATTCTAGTAAATCTGAGGTCAGCATGTTCCCAGTTTGCATTTACACTATATATTCTCAGCTGGGAAAGTTCAAATGAAGCATTAAAGGCTTTTGCGCCAATCCTTATTATAATGGAGTTCACAGAAACCGAAATGCCTTCTACCACTTTTTCAGCAAAGCCATATTCACTAAAAAGTGAAATGACAACATATTAAATACATACCTAATGAAAGGGCACAAAATTAAAAATTAAACAGCTGAAATACAACATGAAACAAACCATAAAATAAGTTCTTAGTGTATTCTCCAGTTACAAATCTTTTTTAAATACACTCGATCTAGTTTACAATTATTTCCATCCTATGATCCTAATCTCAAAATAGTCATTAAAGAACATATTTTGGACCAAGATCAATCTCCATGAAGTATAACAATTAATGCAATTTTTCCATGATAAATATTTTATACATATATAAAAATGTATAAAAAATATATTATACACACATAACAGTCTATAGCATTACATAGAAATCTTACTCTTCTTTATGTATACATAAGGAGTAATTCATGTCAAATGAATTATTTGACAATTGCAGTCTGGTTAGTATTTATCTCTATAAGCTAAGTTATTCTGCCCATTAAAACTAGTATCTTTCATACATGCAAAATAGTATAAAGTATTTGCTTTGTTTCATTCTATAAAAGAAAGGCATCCTCAATGGTGGTTACACTTCTACACCAAATTAACATGCATTCCAGTATTAAAAAAGATAAAGCAGTTGCAATTAATTTTTTAATAAAAATCTTATGCATTCTGAATGTTTTAGATTAGTGAATGGAAAACTGTATTTTAAATGTTCTTCCTAACATCTAAAATTTTTTGCCTTTGGGGGTTTTTTCCCTGCTCGTTTTAAAAGTACAGTTTATGTGGTTTGTCATTCCTTTTCCTTTTTATAACTTTCATCCTACACAGAATCTCTATGGCAATAATTTTCAAGCTGTACCCTAGGAGACATAGAGGCCCATGGACGACTACTACATATTATGCAGAAGTTAAAATAAGAAAAGCAATTGTATCACCAAATTAGTTTCTCTGTATATGGGTCCCTATGCCCACTGAAAAAAGTTTTGGGTCCATAAAAAGGAAATTAATTGGGGGGGTGGGGAGCATAGAATCACTGATATAATGCTATATTGTCCCACCAAATTACTTGACTTTTGGGCTCTATAGTGTGCATGAAATCTTTCAGTAAGATTTGGCTGATACAATAAAGGAAACAGAACTTAAAACACCACACTAACAAATAGCCCTTAACACTGTTTTCTAGACCAAACAAAGGAAAAATAAAAATTTTTAAAAACCCACCCCAACATTATATGTATTTTCCAAACAGGTTGAAGGCAAGATATCTTTAATTTTCAAAAACCTTAAATCAATTAAACTTGGTTAATTTGTGGTGCAGTAGTTGCACCCACATGAAACGTGGCTAGGAAGCTTCATACGTAGTTCAGACGTTCTTTCCAGGCTTGGTCTGGATAGTTCCATTATCACTATACATATGTAACTCCACCCACAAGTAATAAAATAAAATTTTGGAGAGATGGAAATGGCAAGCTGCAACCCTATATGCTTCTGAAAATTTGCAGGGGATCTGTTTTATAGTAATTCAAAATGAGTAATTTAAACTTTTTTGGATCAATTACGTGCAAGTATCATCTCTAACCTCTGTCCGGATGCAGTTGCTATAGGAGAGGGTCCATTAGGGGCACGTGGCTCTTCACATGTGCTCATTTCCATTACAACTTTATCCAAGGACTTGAAAAACAAAAGAAAACAAAAAAAATTGGCGACCTAAGAGGTAACAAAGTAAATAGATGACATATAAAGAAAAACAAAACAAACAAAAAAGTCACTTGAGAACTTTTTCTGAAATATACATAAAACATTTCTTACCATGTCAATTTTCCCATCAACTTTTGTAACATACCAGAATTATCTTTCTTTTTTTAAATTTGTTCATATAAATTACCAAATTGTGTGAATTCTAACAGACCTTCCCAGTCAACTATTGGATTACAGAATTCTTGATACCTGAGTATTATTTATCCATCACACACATTTTCAAAAATTGCATTTCAAAAAGGGCATGATTTAATGCATACTCATCTGGGTTTTCTTCCTATATGGTTGTTCTTTCAGTGAAATACTTAATACCTCTTGAGTTTTCTAAATGGTTCAGTAAGTTCAGAAAATTTTAATGGAAAATATTTGAAACTAGTTCACTATAATTCGTGATAGTAGATGAAGTTTTGTGCTGCATCTTTAAAACAAAATGTGAATATATATAATACATACACATATGAGGGTGTATATGCTCTGTGTGTGTATATGAATCTTCAGTAGATCTAGTAAAACAAGTAATTTCTAAAAAGATACACTCTAGTATAATTTGCAACACATCATATTGTAGTAAAATTGTACGCTATTATTGTATTCTTTGTACTTGAGGGGGGACCCTTATAAAACAAGCTGGGAATTAAGGGAATGAGACACCTAAATCCTATTTTAACTGAAGGCTGTATTTAAATACCAGAAATATAACACACTTTATAAATAATGCATACTAACAGGGGGGTGAACAGAATGGGAACAAACCAAATGCAAAACCTTATTCCCAGCAACTGAATAAATCCAAGAATCTCCTAACTTACATTACTATGTTTGTGACCTAGATTTATCATATAACCTGGGAAGGCTCTTAATTTAAGGCTTATAGTTCTGAAATCTTGTCCCACTGGAAGCTCGTTCAAAACACAACAGCTAATATTACCTCCCTGTCTAGTTCTGACTTTATACCACCCCTTCTGAATTCCTCCATTTACCTCTCTTAGGTCAGACAAACCATGCTAAAAAGCTTTATCCTCAATTTAAGATTTTTCATGATTCAACCTGCCCTACTTACTGGACTTTATTATCATATTGTGTTAATTGTGCCTGCCTTCATAATCCACTTGCCCCACAAACATTTTTCTGTGCTACTCTTATCCATGAAATGCCCTGACTACTACCTAGAAATTCATAAACTCTCTACTCCGGATTTACTTATACTTCACTATATTTTGATGCTTAAAGGGAAGCGTTAGCTGTTAACTGTAAATTTGGACATTTTAAAATTATTTTCTCAGTTGTCTCAATGAATAACTTGCCTTGCAAAACAACAACAGAGGAAAAAACAAGAAAAACCCGATCCTTTAATTTGAGGATGGTGAGGGGCAGGGGGAAGCCAAGATTTCTCCTGATTATCCTAACATTTTTGGATGTTTGACCACTCTTTTAAGGTTTCTTAAATTAAATTGGAACAATTTCCTTCACTACATGACTAGTGCAAAGAACTGTAGGGCAGCAATTTAAGGAGTTTGCGTAATATAAATAGGAGTTAACAAAGAACACCTGGATGTAGATATCTGTCTATTCTTTTCTCACTGGCAACTACTGTACTTTGATAGAGAAAAAACTGCTGCATAGCATTCTTGGGTCCCCAAAGCACTCCTCAAAATTATATTGTTTATCATATAGAAACAGAAATTGATTATAAGCAAAGATAACCCAGTATTTGCCACTATGTTAACAGATGGATTTTCACAAAGGGCAACTCAGCTCAATGAAAGTACCTTTGACTAGACAAGTGGGTTCTAGTTACTTCCTAAGCTACGCTAACAGAGGATGCTATTCCAATTTAATCAAACTCTCAGTAGCAAAAATATCCCCATCAAAATAGTGGAAGTTCAGCAATGTAATAAAGGGCTGAAGTTGGACATTTAGGCCATTGAATTCACCTTCCTTTAGAAGTCGAAAAGGTTGTTGTACAGCATACCATTGAAGAGTGAACTTTTGTTATCAATTCAATGCACTTGTTCAAGGAAAGCTTTAAGTAAAAAAGGTGACCTTGAAAATTATCTTAGCTTCAAAGATTGCTAATGTAAGTTCAATAGGAGCAAAGCAAACAATCAGGCCTTGCTACCATAAGTTAAAGTATGTAATCTTCAAGAATAGCATGGCTTAAGCTGATTTCCTAATTTGGCAGTTGCATCTTACAGTCAAGAGGTTGAATCATCCCACCTCAGCATTACCACACTTCAAGCTCTGTGTGTCAGGAAGAAGCGGTACAGATATTAGTACATTACAACTGGGTCACTAGCAAATGCATGAAGTATTTAAAACAACATGTCTTTCCCAAGTCTGATTCTGAACTAAGGAATTACAAGCACATTCAGGAATTCACTACAAGACTGGGAAGCACAACACTTAAAGGAATATTCATTCCTAAGCAAACACAATTAACAAAGTTTAGCCATCATCAAACAAATCACTTCTGGTGCTACCACATTTCTTAATATACTTAAAAATAAAGAACAAAATTAAACAAATGCAAGAATTAGCATTACTTGTAATTGTTATTATTTACACGTTTTACATCCTATATATATCCAGGCTGAATCCTAAGCTGTTATGGAAACCCTGTAAATGCTATGTGCATCAAGCCTGCTGTAATTGAGATCATTGGGGGTAGAGTACAGATGTAGAATAGAAAAGCCCTTAGAAAAGATAGCTCCAAAAGACAGGCAGGAACTTATAAAAGGGTTAGTTGGACAAATAATTACCCTTCAGGTGAACCCAAATTAATGTGTAATGACTGAAGAACCTGACAGAAATTAGCTAACAGTCAAATATTATAGTGATGACGCCCAAAGCCATAGATTAAGAAACAAACCTACCAACAAAAACATTAAAGCATTATGTCTTGATCTGCTGCTACCTAGAGGACACTTAGTAAAGGCCCATTAATGTTGCAGTTATTTCTAGAGTCAAGTCAAGAGAACTATACAAACATTTGAGATAAATTCCGCTACACAGAGTATATTTAGGAGTTGATCTCAGAACTCACCAAGGAGATGGGATGTGTTTTCAATTTTGTCCATGGTATCTGCAAGGGAAAACATTCTTTTAAAGCAAAGTAAATATTAAAAATTACAGTAAAATAAAGCATTTGTTTAGAATGTTTTATGTATTCAAGTTACATTTGTAACTCCTGAACTCAGAATAATATTACTTTCAAAATATCAAGTTTATCTGAAAATACTGTAGAGTAAATTTATGCATATACATAAATTTATTGTAGGTGTTAAAAACAGAACTTCAAAATCTACTTATCACTGAGCAGAAAACAGGAACAAAATAGAATCTGTCTCTTTAATACTGAGTTGTCAAGCACCAGAAAAAGCTACACTGTCTTCCACATTCTTTCCTTTAAAAGGAAAGAAAATCCACATTTGCTCTGTTGGCCTACAAGTAATCGGATGCCTGCAACAAAGCATCAAGTTCACTGCATTCAAAAAATCAGGACAATCTCCCATTGGGGGCGGTGGGGAGGGGAGGAAAAAACCAAAAGACTGAAGAGGTGCCAAAGTTTGACCAGATCATAACTTGTGTCAAAAACAAGCCATAGCTTCATTTCTTACTCTTATATTATAGTATAATCTAGGAGAGATGATATACATTGTTTCAATTCTTAGCAGCCACAAGGGCCAAAAAAGCAACATCTACTAGATTTAGAGTGTTTCCACATTTCCCACAGAGACCAGAATCCCTCAGAAACATATTTTTGGAAACAGGAAAGGAACAAGAGGGAAAACAATAGAAAGAGAGGGGTAAAGAGAAGAAATAACACATAAAAAAAGAGAATAATAAATAATTATAGTAGACTAATTACCATGGGCAAATACAAGCTTTTATCTCTACCCCTATTTCAGAACATGCAGGAATAAATTCTACTCAGAAAGAAAAAAAAAAAAAGAATTTAAAAACATCACTGCTTATTTTCATCATTTCCATATGTATTCCATGTCACCACATGAGAAACAAAAATTAGTAAGAAATTATTGCTGGCAACATCTTTGTTTTTCTCAATTTTATCAAACACTCATCACAACTTTCTATTAATACAAAGTTGCTTGGAAGTTTACAGAGACAGAAGGAAAAAAAGAAAGATTTGGCTAATTACCATTCCAGCACAATAAAATACTCACCCTAATGGATGCTTTATTGCAAAAGACCTTGTTTATAGCTAGCCATGTTGGAAGATCCAGCATGTTCTGAAGCACCTCTTGATCCAGCTCTAAATTGGTCAGCTGACCTTCCCCCTTTAATGTGCTCAGGTTGATCTTGTCAGGTGACAGATTTTTGGTGAACCTAAAAACAAACATACACCTTAAGTAAATGCATATAAAGCAATCAGAGCTGTCCCACATATAGCTGACAATTTAACTTAAAGCAATGGTCTGGGGGTGAGGAAATCATCTTAGGTTCTTAGGTACAATTTCACCGTAAAAAGAAATGGTACCATGGAATTGCTTTGTCCCTCTAAATTTTTGCATCTCATTAACTCCATTTACAAATACATAAACAAAATTAAATACATTATGAGGTATCTTCTAATTTGTCCATCACCCAGAATAACAAATCCTTGATTCAAAGTATTGAACTATTTATTTTAAACTATATAAGGTAGAAGTTAATCTAGTTCACTCTTCCTTAGTTTTTCAAAAGGAGAAAAAAAAATCCAAAACCTCTACAACTTATACTGTCAGAGCAAGCAGGAGTGGCTTAGAATTCACTCAGGAGAAGTAACAAAAAGCTACTCCTGATAAATAGTACCCTTCTATTTACAGTTAAAACCTTGAAATGAAAAGTTTTATTTACAATGTTCATTAGGTTTAATCATAGAATTTAATAACATACATTAGAAATATACATACACACATATTTACACACACAGCAGCATGGTATATATAAAATACTGGATGAAAACTTGAAAGGTCAATCTGATAATACAAGGGCTAAAAAATGTAACTATTTAAAAAAGTACATTATACAATAAATTTCATTATACTTCAAAGGCACTATGATTTGCTGATACAATAGAACAATGGATCTGACTGTGTCAAATGGTTCATATCCTTGTGAGATAACATGACAAAAATCATGGGTACTCTACCCTCAAATCAACAGCTGTAGCATTATAATAACTACTACAAGCTGAAGAATAGGCTATACTTAACCACATTTGCATTCTGCCATGGAAAACTGTTTCTGCTCATGAACTGGGTCTAATTTTACAAGATTAGGTAGTAGAAAATACTACTACTGTTTGCATCATGCTTCGTGACTTCTCCCACCGAAATCTCCCTGCGCTGATATTCTGCAGGCAGAGAGCAAAGGCGTTTGTCCACAACGATGGAACATCGCCCTGAAGCAACACCCAAGGAGGTGCAATTCCAACATTTCCTTCCCATTCAAGAGACCAATTTCTAACCGAACTATGAGGTCCTTATTAAGTCAGATACCCAGGGGGAGATGGTGGAAGAAGGTGAAGAAGGCTGGCAAGCTTTTCCTCTTAACAGTTTCCAAGTGTGGCTTGAAACATGGTAGGCATTGTCTCAGTCCAACTGCTTTACTGCATTCTTGTGATGGTAAGCTTTGGAAATGCATTTATCTAGCCTGACAAAACGCAAACATCCATTTTACCACTCCTATGAAATGTTCAGCCAGACGTGATAAACTTACAAATTTTCATCACCTGTCAGTTTAATCACGAAGAGGAACTCTCAGAGATCAAGGGGGTGGAGGTGCACAAAGGAAGAAGCTTATTCAGAATTAAAAGTTCACTTAAATACCCGCTCCCCCCCCACTATACCATCTGAAATTATTCAGGATATATTTGCAAATAATACTATACACGTTTCTTATGATAGAAGTGTTGCAGTTGTTTCTGTATTGCTTACAAGGCATAAATTATCCAGAAGGAATGAGCTTTGATTCGTGAAAAATATATTTTAATAATTTCAGTACTAAAAATACATTAATATAAGGCTACTGACAAATACATCTTCCTTGACAACTAATGTACTTCTAAATGCTCCATTTAGAAACATTATGAGGGGAATAAAAGACTTAAAATTATTTAATTTTCTGGTTACCCTTCTTTGTTCCTTTTAACAAGAATGAATAATGAGACAAGCTGAATAACTTGCATCAGTAACTGCAAAATATAAAGCCTCCTATCTCAGAAATCATATTAACAAGTCTCATCTGACTCGGCTAATTCAAATTCCTGGAAGAAAAAAAAAGCAGCCATTGAATGTTTTCAGTCACATCATAGTATCTCTCACTCTTGACTTTCTAGATGGGGGTCAACATAAGAATCACAAATTGGTGTTATTTTAAAGTCACATTTATACAGTGAATGCGAAAATATTCTGCCATTACATACACACACAGTCTCTCCCGAGACTCATGCTCTGTGGAGGAAGTCCCCCTCAGGGTTCCCTTTGCTACGCTACACCAGAAATACCACTCAACTTGGAGATAGATCTAACCATCATCTTGGTCTCAACTGAAGACACATCACAGTGAAATCCAGAGGATCTACAGGAACAGGTTTTCAAACTTCACAGCAAGAAAGACACCAAAATACCATTGAGGAGGAGAATGGAGACAGCAAAGCCAATCTTGAGTTAATTCTGACATCCTTCAAACAGACAAATAGGAGCTAGTCCCTCGCAACAAGGAGCAGAAAGACAGGGAAAGCAATCTCCGCAAGAAGAATAATTTTTCCCCTCATTTCCACATTTTTTTTTAATTCTTCTGAGAGTGTTGCTCTGAATTTGTTACCTCTCCTGCAGCCAGCAAAAGGAAAAAATGCTCTGAGTGCTGCTTCATTCAGCACAGACTGATGTAAGAGGATCTCCACCTGTAAGACTACACCCTTCATTTCAAGAGTCACAGAAAGAAACTCTTAACAGGTGAGTTGTGAGAAGGTATTTCAGGTTTAGGCATCTCTAGCAGCAGATCTCTTCATTCCACTTCCATAGCTGGAATGCGACTGATGAGTGGATGCTGAGGAGACTATGGTATTTCCCCAAAACCCATAGTAGCTTCATAATATACAACAACCACATCTGCTTTGTCTATCTGCTTTGTCCAGAGCCAATTTTCACTGAGGATGCCAACACTTTACGTTACTGTGCCAGTTCCCTGCTCCTTCTTAAACTCAGTTGTTCCATAGAATACACTTTTATTTGTCTGTTGCATATTTTCAGCACTTTAGAACCATTTCATACTACTTGATATAACAGGAAAACCTTTTAGTTTTATACAGCGGCCTCTAACTTAAAAAATAAAAAATAAGAAGTTGGCCTGTTTGGGCAGCTAGCCCTGCAAAACACAACGTGATCAGACCCATTAGTTAGAATTTACAAGAATTCACATCTTCATGCATAAAATTAAAAGAAGAGCCAAACAACAAAAAGAACAGCATTTTGAATTAAAAATAAAAAAAAGTCTTAGGGCAACCACAACTCTCCAAACGGTACTGTCCTAGGATCCCATGGTACATCAAACCAGGACGTTGAGCTAGAGTGCTTTGACTTCTCTTTCTGGTGTGCTTCGCATTCAGCCAACAGAGACTTAGGGAGAAGATGTACCACAGACACACTCATGTGTGTCTAGTGCAAGTTCTAGTGAACTTGCAAGGAGTTGGTATAATCATCACTGACAAAACTGTTACCCAGATAAAATCTGCAATTTAATATTTTAATACTATTAACTTGTAATTTTATTATTAAATTAAATGTTAATACTATTTTAAATATTCTGGTGTTGGAGAGGTTTTCTAATATTTATTGCCAAGCAAAATCTAAGGAGGAGGCAGCACAGCTTTGGAGGTTGGCAAGTTATCTCTATATCTAAAGAACTACCGTGTCTCGTAGTCAGTACTGTAAACTAGAATGCTTAATTGCTTGAACTTTGAGAACTTATTAGGCTATCATATTTATGATACAATTTTTATGTAAAGCAGGGAGGTACATCCCATAAAGTTAGGGTGGAATCATGTAATTCTGAATATGTAATAATTAGAAGTCTTTGATTGTGTCATGATGTTTCATGATTAGAAATCTTTGATCGGATAAAACCATTTAAAAATTCTCTAAGAGCTTTTTATATAACTACTCAGAACTAACAATGTCACCAACTTCATGATATGCACACATTCTTCTCTCTGACTTGGCACAAAGAAACATCTCCCCCCCAGCTTGCCAGTTGTTGTTCACCCTGGTGTTCATTCCTCTGAACGAGTTAATTACTCATTAAAAACTGGGTCAAACTGGGAGCAGAGGCCTCAACAACAGGGCCATTTCCCTGCACAACATCCCATGAACTCCTATGACTGATACTCCTTTTCTAGGGAACAGACCGAGTTAATACCCACTACTCGATACAAGAAACAAATAAAGCAGAACAGAGAAAAGTAAAAGGGAAGGGCAAGAGGAACGGAAATAAAGGACATGGTTGAGTTCACCAAACCTTTCTGCTACACTGTTTTGCTGTGGCAGTAAGACATCACTGTTATTGAGGCAATACATACTTGGTTTGCTAATACCACAAGACATTCTTAGCAAAACTGTTTTCAGAGATTTAGTTTCAATTTCACAAACTACCCTTCCTTTCTCAAAGCATACGATTTGAGGTTTGAATTACTCTGTCTGATAGCATGAATTTCAATTCAGTTTTAATATTCAATTCTGTAAGTTAGATTAATGCTATAAAATATTTTACACTTTAAATGCAAGACTCCAGAAATATTAAGTTATTAATATCACAAGCTGCCTGACATAGCTCCCTTGAGTACATATATACACACACACACAAAAAATATTACTATGCAGTTAGATGATTCAACTTTAATTTACAGAGTGCAGACTAAGAGTTTAGTGAAAAGCGTAAAAGACTGCACAGTAACAGCACAGTAATAAGAATCATACGTAGAGTACTAAGTTACAATCATTGTATTTTGTCAGGACCACAACAGTTCTTTTAGTTCTTTTCTCTCTAAAATAAGTAAAAATCTACACAGAAGACGCATTTTTTTCCTTGCCCAAGTTTTGTTTGTGACAACGCAGGCTTGGAGCTTTGAACGGACTCCACTGTGCTTGCAGAGAAAATAGCCAAGAAATGAAACTAGAAACAAAAAACAGTAGAGAAGACAGGGGAAAACACTTCTCTGAAAGCATGAGCTTATGTTTTACATGATGAAGGCCACAGACCACATGAAGCTTAGAGCAGCGTTCCACAAAGGTTTGGAGAGAACACCAGATGCCTTGTCAAGTTTGTCAACAGAAACTCCAACCTCT